GTTGTAAATTCCAGTTGATGAATTTTGCACAAGGTAGGATTGTGCTGGTGTTAGAAGGAGGATATAATCTTAATTCAATAGCAAATTCAATGCTTGCTTGTGTGGAAGTTTTACTAGAAGAGAAGTCTATTGCAGGATCCTCAGAGGCCTATCCATTTGAGTCTACATGGCATGTTATACAAGCGGTAAAAATATTTCCTCCTTATTATTCCTTCAAGTGTGAGGAAAAAGAAAATTGGGAGTAGCCATAGTTAGGTAGAACTGTAGAAGTATCTCCACCTCAGCTCGGGTGTTGTGTTGAGGTAAGAATGTAAATGTTGTAAGGCCTCTGGTCATTCCTAGAATCTCCATTTCTCTCCCTCTACTATTTCTAGCTCATTTGTCAATAAAGGTTAAGAGTAATTGGTAGAAGGGTTTCTTTCTATGCTAAGGGTATGTGCATATTTCATTGCAGGTCCGCCAGCAATTAAGTCCATTCTGGCCAACACTTGCCAGCAAGTTACCTGAAACTTTGATTTGTCAAATAGCACCACCTCCGGTAACCCTTTTTTCATTCTTGTGCTCCGTTCCTTGGTAGTTGGTTTAGCTGATAAATTATCTTAGAGAATTCAAAAATAACTTTTAATAAGAACTGTTTTGAGTGCTAATCATTCTTGTGTGGTAATATATTTTTACAAAGGGCACCATTAATATAAATAGACTCTCTTTTATGCGAAGGTTGATTATTGTAAAATATCTCCTAGTTCATTTTGTGATGAAGAGTTGTATTGGCTTTTTATTTGTCAGCATCTGATGGCATACGTAATTTGAGAAAAAAAAGTCGAGTTTTCATTGTAAAGCTGTCAATGCTGCTTTCTCTGTAAAGTTCCCCAAAAAAAAAAAAAGCCATGCTGAACATTTTTGTCCTGCTATATTGTTACAGTTGTGCATGTCTTTCTTGCACCCTTGCCTGATCATTTGTCTGTTTCTTGCTGACATATTATCTGTTATCCTAAAATATCTGTGGCAATAATTATTGGCCGCTATAGCATACTCTGATCTCAAGCTCTGAATCTGAGACGGAGGATGATAAGGGTCCAAAGATTTCTGAGAATCTGGAAGAGCTACTTCAGGGTGTTATAGAGCCCCTTTCCAAGCTGAATGTTGATATAGACAGTCGTGGTAAACTCTATGATTAATCAGAGACCTCCCCTCCCCGCTCTCCCGTGTTCATCAGTTGACAAGCCCTGTACTTTGTGCAGATCAACCAACTTCTGCTACTTATTCATGGCGATCAGAACTCTCGAATATTTTCATATGGTATGCCTCATATGGACTAAATATGTGGCAATCAAGATTTCTGTGCTACATAGCGGGCGGAAAGGTAATGCGACCTTCCAATTTATTTTATCATCTATGCAATTCTGAAACAGATGATAGACTTTTAATTCATCTTAATGATTCCACTCATTGTTTTCTGGAATGGTCAATGTTAAATTGCTATTAAGAGAGATATTCAGGGCCTGGAATGTCATTTTTTTGTGAAAAGGATTGTGCTTCTTAGAGCTGACAAGACAAAGTTTTGTATTTCCACGCTTTAGGATATTATGAAGCATCAGTTTTTTGTGATTTGTAGGAAAAAAATTTCCGCCTCCCTTGCTTTTCCTGGTTCTGAAGCCTATATCCTTTAACATTTGAGAGCTATGTATCTGTTATCTACTTTTTATGTCGATTTTTGAAATGATAATCAGGTGGAAGGCATGCAAATGCAATGTTCTGGTGCAATGGACACAAAGCCACCGAGGGAGATCCTGTGGAAAACATTCCCTTGCCGTCTCTTTTTTGGTCGTGATTCCTCATATACATGGGGTCCTGGAGCGCTTGCTCTCCTTAATCCCGAAACGAGCAATGAGGACAACACTTACATGTGCCTGTACAAAATTTCGTAAGTGAACTGACCAAGCTCTTTGTTGCTGTTCAAATCTCCTGTTAGCAGAAACAGTATGCGGCTCCAAAGCTTAATGATGGAGCATGGCATTGTCCAATCTGATTTTTGGTTTTCTTACACAAACACACACACACACTCACAGAGTGTGTGTGTGTGTATCAAATGGAGCTTATATGACGTTCTCTTCAATGTTTATCGCAGACTGGAGCAGTTAAATGATCTTTTACTTCTGGAAAATGGTCGAAGTCAGAATATTGGTTCTCCCTTGTTCGACGCAACTGCCCTGAATGTTACCACTAGCAAGGAATTTGATTCCCTGGAGGTTATCGAGGTAGTCTTTTGGACGGTTGCGCCTTTTTTTTTTTTTTTAATTACAGATATTGGCGCATTTTTTATTTATTATTTTGATCTCCTTCCTTTGATATGACTTTGCCATTATGTTTATGTCTGCTGTAATTCATTGCTCCTCAATGGGGTGCAGGGTGCTTGGTATGGTAATGTTGTATATTTGGGCAAGGAGCAGAATATTCCAATTCTTACCGTGACGTGAGTAATCACACACTGGTGACTTATCACTGATCCATTTTGACTTTAACTTGATATTTATATTACCTTTGATTTGATTTCAAACAGATGTTCACTTTCTAATATTGAAAGCTTCAAATCTGGGAGGCTTCCTTTGCGTGCCCCTAATAAAGCTTATGCCAACACCTTAATTAGAGGCTTAGTAGAAGGAGGACAGCTCTCAGAGGCGGAGGCTATTGCTTACATTGATGCTGCTTCTGCTAAACCTTTATAATGACAGATTGGCATGTCATATCCTTTTGGTGTAAATATTTTGGAACTGTAACCTTTCTACTAAGTACGTAAAAAATTGTTAGGTGGGGATAGTTTGGTTCATCTTTGTGCTTCTTTTTTGGGTATGATTTTAGGACATGACCCCTAAAATATTGAGGTGTGGTTTCCTATGAAAGTGGAGATAACTATCATTGGATGTAAACTAGGAGTGTTTTGCTCTGGCACTCAAAAATGAAACAGTTTCTAGAGGGCCTCGCAGGAGGTTTGAGAAATCAAAATGCCGCTATTATACGAGTTCTGAATAAGAAAATTAATTATCCACAAGTCCTAGCTATTTGTAAATACAGAAATTTGATATGTAAATGGAAAAGTTAGGCCTGTAAATGGGACAAGGAAATAATTTTTTATTTGGGATTTGTTTGTAATTCTTCTTTTATTAAATTATCGACTCAAACATTTTTAAATCATGTACAGTTTTCCTGTCATAAATTCTCATTGATAGTAGTCTTCTCCAATTTTCCTAACTATATAAGATGAATGTATGAAATTATACATAATTTCCTACATAATGAATTATGCATTATTATATATTATCAGAAATACATCATTACATCTAATTTTAATATTTACTATCAATTTGGAATTTCAAAAAAGTCTGGACTGCTTATTCGAGACCAACAAATATAGCCTCTAGGCTGAAGGATCAAATGAGACCTTATTTATGTAGTACTTTTAGTACGTTGCAAACATATCAAGAAAATCTTCAAACTGCGTTAACCTTACTTTAAAATATAATTTTTTAATTTATTCATTTTTAATATATAATAATAAATAATGAACAAAATAATAAATGAGTCATGGTAAAAATTTAATAATGTGACTAATAAATAAGACTAAAAAATTTTTTGTCCCTATTTTATAAATAGAACTAAAGGAGTAACAACACAAGATTTTTTTTTGATAAAATCTTTTAAAAAGCCATTTAAATAACCTAAATTCTTATTTGAGTTATTAAATTTATCAAATTCTTAACTAGGTCACATAATCTAAAGAAAAATTTTAAAATTTTATAAAATAACTCTAATGTCTTTTTCATTAGAAACCTATAGAAATAAGAATTTTCTATTATTTTCAAGTTGTTAATTTAGAACAGAAACTTGTTAATTGTGTAATTGAACTCGTTAATTTTCAAAGTTGTATCATGATCATTTTTTATTCAAAGACTTATTGCAAGTGTGTTTTAGAGACAGAAAATTATTAATTTAAAATTGAAATATATTAACTATGAAATGTAATATGTTAATTTTCAGAGTTGTATTGTGATTAAGTTTTACTTAAAGGCTTACTACAAATGTTATGGGGACATAAAGCTATTAATTTTGAATTAAAATTTGTTAACTATGTAATTAAATTTATTAATTTTTAAGGTTGTATTGTGATCAAATTTTATTCAAAGACTTATTACAAGCATGTTATGGAGATAGAAAATTATTAATTTAAAATCAAAATATATTAAATGCAAAATGAAATATATCAATTTAGAATTCTTTTTTGGTTACTAATAAAACGGGTATTAGAATCATTTCATAAAATTTTAAAATCTCTCTTTGGATCATGTGATCTGATTAGAAATTTGACAAATTCAATTATGTAAATAAAAATTTGTGTTATTTCAATGCCTTTTTAAGAGATTTTCTTACGATTTTTTTTATTCAATATTGTTAAAGGAGACATGATTATGGTTCTTTTTTTCTGCGGCAAGACGTGATTATGGTTTTTCATGACCATTTCAAAAATTTATTGTAATCTGTTTGTTGAATGTTGTCAATTACTATTAATGTATACCATGTCCGTTTTTTAATATGAAAATTCGTTTGACTTTTATTTTGATTCTACATATAAGATTCTAATCCATTTTGTTTCTTATATATATTTATTTTTTAAAAAAGTAGTCTTTGTAATAATAGTAGTTATAACCAATATACTTGATTAAAAAGGACATTTTAAAAAAGACAACATCTATTTATTACAAATAATTAATTTAACCAAATTTTTTGATATACTCAAATTAGTTATTTAGTTTTTATATTAGGGAACTAAATAAATAAGATTGATTTGAAATTTGGAAGTTAACCAAATTTTTATTTTTAATTCTCTTTTATTTTTATTTTTTTGAAAAGCTAACCATTACGAATTTACCGGATCCGTATGGCGAGGTCTGAGGCCCTAGGCGCAACTAAAGGGGCAGAACCTAGCGAGCCGCTGAACGTCTCACATAAGCGCCGCCGGCAAGCTGGTTTAGTCCATTCGCACCTGTTTGATCTACGTAGTCCCCGCTAGGGTTTCAGCACCGCAATCACCAATCGGCGGCAATGGCGATGGCTGCTCTGCGACGGGAAGGGAGGCGTCTAGCCCCTCTCATCTCTCCACAACCGTTGACCGCTCTCCGATCTTCCCTCATCTCTGAGTACGATCTCCCATCCTTTCTCTGAAATCTGCTGCCTATTCTCTCTCGCTCGCCCTACTGGTGTCCTGCGCTCTCCCATTTTTTTGACAATTGGTTTGATGACCGAGGAAGATTGGAAAATGGAAGGAGGGTCATTACGTAGATGCGGCCCTTGGGGGAAAAAATCCTCTTTTCTATTTCCCTTATAGTTTGGAAAGTTAAATAAAAGCCTCTCATAATGTTGGCAAGCTCAATGATTTTGTGGTTTAAGGTTAAAACTGGGCTTAACCAGGTTGAGATCGCTCAGAGTTTGCAGAATTCTAGCTGTTGCTGGAAAATGCGGCTAATCTTGAACAAGTCCTCGTTGCGCTTGTATTTCACGCTGATAAGTGTGTGGTGTCTCTTTCACTTTTATCTTTAATTCTATTACATTGCCTAAAATAGGATAAAAGGATCTTAATTCTTGAAGCCCTTTTGAGTTACCGTTTCACCATGTCAATTCAGAGAGCAATATCACGTATTTGAAAGAAAATGCTTTCTCCTTTTCCGCCATGTGGAAAAAGTGGACTCTTTCTCCTCGTTATAGCACTCATCTATGCCATATCTACCCTGTTCGTTTCCAAATGATCTAATTTTATTGAGTTGACAGGGAGCAAGTCCCCCAGGGAGTGCGCTCTATTTCAACTCAAGTAGGTAGGATCCATTTTATGTTCTGCATGCTGTCTAATAGCACTGTTACAGAGTTTCATTCCTGCTTTCTTCTGTAAGATTTAAGGCTGCCTGGCAGATGGACATTATATTTTGTGGTTTCATGAAACAATGCAGTCAGAAATCGGATGAAGAGTGTGAAGAATATCCAGAAAATTACAAAGGCAATGAAGATGGTTGCAGCTTCAAAACTGCGTGCTATTCAAACTAGAGCTGAAAATTCTCGTGGCCTATGGCAGCCATTTACTGCACTTCTGGGTGACACTCCCAGTACGTTTTCCAAATGCGTGACTTTTATTTGTTTTTATTATTCTTTTTTGCTTTTCTTGATCTTATACAATATTTTACTCATTCATGTAGTGCCTTCAATATGCCAGTGTGTGGTTTATGAAGCACTGATATGTTTAAAATTGTCATAATAGTGTCCTGTATTCGTCACACGTCAGAACACATCTAAATGTTCTTGGAAGCTGCATATTTTCTCGCATTGCAATGTCCAGTGTATTGTCAATGGCTGCTTTTTACCAAATGTGGCAGTACCGTGTACATGCCACTACTTCATTTGAATTTTATGAATTAGCTATTGCATTTGGTTATATAAGCCATTTTTTGTGCCCTATGTCCTCAGCACTCATCATTCCTCTTCTCTTTCTATGTTTAGGTGTTGATGTGAAGAAGAATGTTATTATTACTGTTTCTTCTGACAAAGGTCTATGTGGTGGAATCAATTCTACCGCTGTCAAGATAAGCAGGGCTGTGCACAAACTAAATTCTGGTAATTTCTGCAACAACTTCCACTTATAAACTTATTTCCATCATTACATATAAAAATATCTTATGGTTAATGACTGGCTTCCAGTATCACTTTTTTAGAGTATTATAGCAAATAATAATAATTATTTTTGAAGCCATTTCATTTTTATATTTGGTGATCCATATAACTGAAAGATCTTGCCAATCATATATGCCCTTCATGGTTTATTGAATATTTAGATGTATATGTATGTATATTGTATCTTATAAGTATCTTATCTTTTATTTTTTTAAAAAATTGATGTATCCTGTATCCTTTTTGTCGTATCTTGTAACTATGTTTCATTAAATGGCAATCCATGTGCTGTGTAGTGGATTGCTGCTTTTGGGTATCGGGATAGCTGACACAGCAAGATGAGTCTTTGTGTTTGTGCCTTGCATTTTCTTCTCCCCTATTTTTTATTAACCTGTGGTATTGGTATTTTCTTTTTGTTAGGTATCTGTGTAGTTGGAGTTTTGGCATGAAAGAAATCTATTTTTCTTCTTTTTCCTTTGCACTTATTGCTATGAAACTATGCTGTTTTAGTCACACACTGGTTTCACATGTTTTCTGTGTTCTAGGTCTTAAATGATTTCTCTTGCTCTTTATTATACTTTCGTTAACTGCCATAGGGCCTGATAAAGAGACAAAGTATGTTATTTTGGGAGAGAAAGCTAAGGCTCAATTGGTACGTGACTCAAAGCAAGACATTGAGATCATCTTAACTGAGCTGCAGAAAAATCCCCTAAATTATACCCAGGTTCGTGCTTGTGCATGTTTATAAGCCCCATATGTTGCATTAGTTTTCATATTAGACTCTAGATGCTCTTTAAACTGACTAGTGTTTAAATAGTTACGGCAGAAGAGAGGATGGAATATGGAAATGATCTTTTCACATTTTGATTGGCACTTTGAAGGAGAATTGGGATCATGATGGATAACTTTATAACATTATTGTGTAAAGTAATCTCTGTACGTTGATATGTTACAAATTTTTTTTTTTTTTTGGGGTCATTCTTTTGGAGTTAGTTTCTCTGGTGATCTTTCAACGTGATTTGTTCAGAGTGAACATTGAAACTTCAATAGGACCCTGAATATCACTATGCACTGAAAAAAATGTGAAGTATGGACAAGCGACACAGAAATACTTGCTCTACGAAAAATTCACGCCCTCGCACATAAGAGTCATAACTTGTAGTACTTTTTTTTTCCCCCATTATTTTCGTTAGCGGTCCACTTCCCAAAAAAACTGGCATTGCTCTATTCTAAGCATCTTATTCTATTATTTCCCCCCCCCCCCCCAAAAAAACTAAATAAGGAGATGGTAAACTACATTATTGAAATTATTCATGCATCATAAAAATTATTTGGGAAGAGGCCTTGCTACCTTGTATATTAGGTTTATATATGGTACGCCATTCTATTTTCCTCTTTTTTTTTCTTGGGTTGTTTCCCTGTTTTGGTGGCCACCTATGATTAACTCGTGTATGGTATGTCCAAGGCAGTGAAAACACCTTTTTTTTCCCCCCCCCCTAATTTAATGCCCATATACGTTTGTCATACATGTTAGTGTGCTATGATAGTGTCAGTGTCCAACATGCTCAAAAAGTAGGTATTTTGGGAGCCTTTCAAATGAGATGTGTTTCTATTGCAGACTCATGAATTCTCCCTTATTACACACTTGCATTTTCAGGTCTCTGTCCTCGCTGATGATATCTTAAAGAATGTGGAGTTTGATGCCTTGAGGATTATTTTCAACAAGTTCCAATCAGTTGTCTCATTTTTGCCAACTATGTCAACTGTATTATCTCCTGAGGTACTAAATTTTGCTAAACGGTACATGTTATGCTGTATAATATCAAAATTGTATACATTAATTCCCAGTATCAGTTTGCACACTTCTTGTTTGCTGTGGTTCCCCGGTCATATAAATGCCTCTTGAACATATTTATTTTGTAATTTGATTTTCTTTGATGTGATGCTTTTTTGTCTTCCCTCTGATGTAGTAAAGTAATTCAACTCTCTTGTAGATTGTGGAGAGAGAGACTGAATCTGGGGGAAAGCTTGGAGAATTGGACTCTTATGAGGTGGAAGGTGGCGAAACAAAATCAGAAATACTTCAAAATCTGGCTGAGTTCCAGTTTTCTTGTGTGAGTGCGACTTTTTAGAGTCTGTTGAACTTTGCCTCTGCTTCCAGCTAGTCACACAGTTCATTTAGATTAATGTAATAACCTTACATGCTTCCAATTTGAATCGAGTTATTATAATGAGAATGCAACTGGAAGAGATGCCTACGCGCCTTATTTTTTAGTGAATGTGTAGATGGGTGCCCATCCTGATTTCTTAAAGTCAGTGCATTAATAACACACTTTATTGATAGAAGCAGATAAAAGCTTAGTTTTGAACTTTTCTTTCCCGTGCTACAGCTTCTACTCCTTGTCATTCCCCTTTTCTTGGGGTTCTTGCTTTGTTTTTTTGCTACCCTTGAGTTTTATTGACTAACTCACTAGACCGTGTAATGACTCTTGGAATTCATGCTTGAGACAGAACCCCCAAGCATATCAACTGGATGGTGTGGACAAGTTGCACTATAAATACCTCAGGAATTCATAATTTTTAATTTCTTGTGTGGGTGGTTAAGGATCATTTTTTCTGGTTGTGTTTTTTATATGCTTTTGTAGCGTTTTCATATCGCCTTGTGTTTTTTGGCCCCTAAAAAAAAAAATCACCTTGTGTTAATAAACTCAAACCCGTTTCTGTCTTCAGGTAACATCTATTTCATGTGTTTTACTTGAAACAATTTTTGGATGTTGTAGGTCCTGTTCAATGCGGTATTGGAGAATGCTTGCAGTGAGCAAGGAGCAAGGATGTCTGCCATGGACAGTTCTAGCAGAAATGCTGGGGAGATGCTTGACCGCCTCACCCTCACTTATAACAGGTCTCTGTGTGTGTGTGTGTGTGTGTGTGTGTGTGTGTGATGTCTTTCCACTCCCTCTTGCTGTTGTCTACGCACTCGATTCCTTGCCCAAAGGCTTGACACAGCACTAATCACACTTTGAATTTGTTGATACCTTGGTCTTTCCAGATTAATTGCACTATTACTTTAGTTTTTTCCAATACATGTTTAGAACTAATGGTCTGACTGATATCTCTTGTCTGGGATAATCGTGATTGATCTCTTGTTTCATTTTTTGGCAGAACACGTCAAGCTTCCATTACCACTGAATTGATTGAGATTATCTCAGGAGCATCAGCTCTAGAAGGTTGATCAGCGAGGATAATTTTGCTAGTCTGTTTGATGATAACGAAATAAGGATCTTGTCTGTGGGTTATTTTTCTGTCGTGTTCATCTGTAATAAACATAATTGCTGCAGGATGATGCCCTCTTCCTGGGATTCCTGGTCACATATTTCAACTTTTTTTTATTTTTATGGTGAGATAAATTACGTCTCCTTTCACCTTTAATGACTCATTGACAAAGGATTTAAATCATGAACCTGAATGCATTTTTATTTTACTTGGTACTATTAAACTGGTCGTTTCAGGCCTTTATGATTTTTTGACCAAACAAAAAGGGAGCCTTTGTGATTCAAGCAACCTTTGAATCATGCCTTGTTCTGTAATGATGTATCTTCTGCGGCCTTTGGAAGCCGTTTATGTTTTACGCTAATACGGGTTCTATGCGTGATGTTTCCCTTTTTTTAAATTTTCCTTTTTAAAGGCCTTCAATAATATTCTTACGATCGATAAGAAGCTACGTGTTGGTCATAATGAACTCTAGTATTTGATGGATACATTATTTTCGGGATAAACTAGTCTACGCCGAAATTTAGATTTCCTTGTAGAATCGATATTTTGAAAGGGTTCATTGATTTTTAATACGGTGAAAGTATCTGATTTAGTTTAATTTATTTTATTAAAAATGTTGAGGTAAACAAATCTGAACGTGCGTGCGTACTTGTTACTTTAATATGATCATGATACCCCAAAAAAAAAAAATTACGGTGTGACCATAATTTGATGAGTTTTTCATATAAAATGAAATACATACTTGGCGCTTGCTTTTAGCTTTGCGGGCTGTTCTACTCAGTCAACGAATTGTCTTGATTGAGCAATTGACCCAAGTCGAAAACCGTGATTTATTATCGGGAAAATTGCCCCATGCTTGTAGACTCGTCCAAGTGGTGAGTCACTGAAAACTCGTCCGTGCGGAAGGAAAAGAAAAGGCTGGCTCCGGTATAGAACCCGTGATGGCTACACATCAGATAGACGGAATTGGGAAGAGAGAGGGACCGCGAGGAAGGAAGACGAGACTGGCGTGCGAAGGTTGGTGACGGATTTGTGATAGCGAAGGTTTGAGCGTAAGAGTGAGGGGATTCACAAGAGCGTGTGGTGTCGTACATCCAGCAGATGTGGAGGAGGAGGAGGAGGAAGCGTTCCTGAGTCCATCCAACACTTAGCCATGAATGAATATTTATAGTGATTGATACAGCAAAAGAGGGAATAATGAAATAGAGGAAACATGAGGGAATGTGTGTGTGTTTGATTTCTTCAAAGGTACTCAATCAGACTCCTCCGCCATGTGCTCCGACTTCACCTCCTCCGCTTGGATTTTTTCATTGGGTTGAGAACATTCAGGAAGTGAAAAGGAGGATTATTTGTTATATGAGGCATTGCTTGTGGGAATGAAGTCTGTTTTAATGAAAATTTAAAGGGACCCGCGTCCAACATCCGTACAATGCCATCCTTTCCGTTTCCTTGACACTAGTGCCTTTGCCGGCGTCCAAACGATGTGGCGACAGTTAAGGATTTCGGCGGCGGTGAGGGTGAAGAAGTAAAGGAGGAAGACGCTGCCGGAGGTAATGGAGTCGGAGCATGCAGGGGAGGAGTCCGATTGGGTTGCCTTTTAACTTCAGCCGGACGGTGAAGAAATCCAAGCCAGATGCCTTTTTTTATTAGTGTGAAGTAATATTTTTTGCCACATAACATAAATTATTCGGTGATTCAAGATAAATTATAGGTGATAAGGATTAAGTTATTAAATGTGTAAAGATTAAGGATTGAGTTATAAATGAACCAAAAAATTTAGAAGCGAAGTTATATCAAATTAAAGTTAAAAAACTAAGTTATAAGTGAATTAAAAATTAAAAAAATAACAAGATTAATTTTCCTTTTAATTTTTACTCCTGAGTGAAGGCACAGCAAACCTTCAGTTCAGAGGTTCGGACTTGGCTTCTTAATCACTTCCCCTCCTTGATATAATTTCACTCCAGACAAAGATAGTACATGTAATATGCATCATGGCCTGTAGGTTGAACTGAGATAAGAAACATAATCAGAGGATTTCGCTGAAGGATGTGTTAATACCCAGGCAGGTGTACAGGAAATATAATTCAAACTCTTGCAGTTTGCAATGGTCAATCAAAAGGACCTCTTATTCATGTATAATCTTTCTTCTTGGTATTTTGTTGAATCAATTCTTGGAGTTGGTTTATGACAGACACACCAGAGCAATATACATAAATATATGTAGTTACAGATGCCCTGGCGATATAAACGGACAAGCTTTTTATTTTTCGGTGACATAAGAGGACAAGCTTTTGTAGAAGCATTTATGCTTTCTACTATGTACAATGGATCTTGGACGTGGACGATGCCTTCCTATTTATGGAATTGGCACAACCGGCACATCAAGGCATACTAGGTATAAATCTAATAATTTTCCTTGTGGAAAACAAATCTTGTTGTGGTTTTGGTGGAAAATTTGGTGCATAGCCCCTTCAAATCTCTTGCCAAATTTGATGGGCCACAGTAGAAGACTCCTGTATAGCCAAATCTCCATGCTTAGTCAAGAATAATTGTTAAATCAAAGTTCCTTTCGGATAGAGTGGTTGCTAAATTTCTATCTATATTCTATATCAGTTCAGGAATATGACACAAAAATGATCTAACATGCAAAAAAATTGTGGAATGTTTGCTCTCACCAATTCTAGCACCTCTATGCTTGAGCGCCAACCTGGAAAATATGTTGAACCAATTTGGTCTAGCAAAATGTGTGCGAATCTGAAAAACCAAGAAAATCATGAGAATATTACTTCTTTCGAATGAAAATGAGGACATAACTCATAGTTAATCTTTTATGTACATTTCATTCTTGATATCATATCACATTATTAGTTCTTCTAGACAAATCAGTACATGGTTCGAGAATTCCTACAAGTCAACATATATTAGTTCTTCTAGACAAATCAGTACATGGTTCGAGAATCTCTACAAGTCAACATGATTTTGGATGTCAAGACGATGATAGAAAGTAACTATAATTCTAAATAGAATGCATCAAACTCCATCTATTGGTTTATTCTGTTACAGTAGTAAAGCTTCTAAAGTGATTTCTCTGCCTGAACAAATTCCACAGTATAGTTTTTAACCATTATTATCATGTTGTAGGATGATGTTACAACTTAGCATTACATGCTTGAATATTATATAAAGAAAGTTCATGTAAATTTAAATCATTTTTCCAGAGAATCCTATAGCACATGCATCCAGAACTTCATTAACACTTGCCCTTTATGACTTGGTCATACGATGTGGCCAAAACCAGGAGAAGACGGGGCCTATTACCGGAGTATTAGAGACAACATCAATGCCATTCTTGGAATGATGCAAGGCCTGAATAATGCTTATCAAAGCTGAACGCACATCTCCCTCTCGATATACATTCGTCAGGAAATTGTGCATCTCCACAACCTGCTTCAAGGTCACCGGTAAAGTAAAATGGTCAGAAAATGCTTAAAGGGGATCTTGCTGCTTGTAATTAAGGAGCACAATTAGATTATCATTTTTATCCCAAAAAGATTTTGGACTGATCTATGGTAATTATCTTCCAGGAACTAAATTGACAGAACTGACACCAAAATGGGTAAATACATTCGATTTTAAGTTAATGGGTAAATACTTCAAAACAAATTGTACCTAGGCATACCTTCTTTTTGTTTGAATTTGAGATTTCCTTCATTGAATCTCGAAACCAATCAAAGGAGCTTTGCTCTCTTGTAGTCCAATAGAAGTATGCTTTTAATGGCTTCTTTCCTAAGCTGCGTTCTCTGAGACCTCTCTATTTCAAATGCCAAAATACGGTGCTTGGTTAATGGAAAAGAAACAGTGCTAACTTAACTTTTAGCAGTAAAAGGAACTATCACTATTATAGGGGAATAAATAGACAGAAGAGCCAATGATCTTACATGATCACTTGGAGGTGCTTGGACACCGTTAAGTATATCTTTGAGGATGCTGATGAAAGGTGTGGCCCCTATCCCAAGCCCAATTAAGACCACAATATCATACTTCACGTAGTCTTGAGCTGCAGCACCATAAGGGCCATCTATGTACAGTGTCGGACAACTATGTCCTCTTGATAGCACTGCCTGCATATAATATTTTGTACGAGGATAAATTCATTTGGAAGCTCATTTTGAAGATGTCTGGACATAAAAAAGATATGTGGAAAAGAATCAGATTTTAGTTAAATATCTCATAAATGATATTGGATTTTTTTTTTTTTCCCCCGGTTGGGTTTACATATATCATGTTCAAATTCACCTCCTGAAAATGAGCATAAATTTGGTTGCTCCAGTCACCAAGAGTTCTAATATGCACACTTAGGTAGTCATCTTGTGGTCCTGAAGTCAAGGAAAATGGGTGCCTGAAAATTTAGATACAATAAACTCAAACGGGACATCGGTACAGTGATTGAAGGGTTTGTGTTGAGTGAGAAGGTCGGGTGAGATAGAATTACCATTCCAAAGATGAAATTTGAGGGCACTGAAGGAATATGTACATGCCACTTTGGTACTCAAAACCTTCTGGCTTTTGCATTTTGAGATACAGAACTTTACCCGGATAGGGATTTGCCTGCGTTTTAATATTAGAACGACAATAATTAATGAATGATTGAGAAGATAATAATTTTCATTTTCAAGCTGTCTTAACAATTAAAAGATTTATTATTTTTGTTTTCAGGGAAGAAGAAAAGAAGCAAACAAGTGTGAATAGAATATTATGAATTCCTAATCCTACTGAATACTTGAATAAATAAAGAATTTGATCAAATACCTTCAAAATATCAACTTCATAAAATCCTGATCTTATGGCCCGAAAGATCCTCTCTCCAATGTATAACAAAACTGGAAAAGCAACGTACATCCATGTCTGCACGTTGATAAATACTAGTGCTAGTTACACAGATCTCAGCTAAAAACCTTATACAGCAGCAACGCATAGTCACTTTTATGAATGACTAGGTCAAACAAATTAGAATAATACAGGTGAATAACAACATAAACAACTCATTATTTTGGAAGAGAATCATCATCATTTGACTCCAAAATTTTTTAAGATAGATCAACACAGTCCAGCTGACGTAGATATTGATAGTTAAAAGCATTCAGACCATGATCATATTCATGGCTTCTGATAATTTTCGGAGTCTTTTCTTTGGGCCTGAACTTTCGGGGTCAAATGATGTCAATTATCTTCAAAGGAGCTGATGAAGTAAGCATGTTTCGACGATTCAAATGGTGATCTTCTCAGAGGAAAAAGAAAAACGGATCAACGAAGATGTTAGAAGACATAAAAAGAACACGGATTTACCGTTTTCTCCAGCCATTTGTCGGTTAGGAACAAGAACATTGAGTGTATAATCAGGAGGCCATATACGAGGATGAATAAGTGGTGCGAGTACCAAAAGGTGTTGTATCCTGTGACCTTTCTCAGAGACAAGGGCAGCTTAGCAGAACGACGTCGTGGCCACTTTGTTGCCAATACAAATGCAATGACCATCAAGATCACCATGGCAATCCCACTTGCCACCTCTATCGTCGTCAAAATTTCCAAGTAATTTGGCTGATGGTAACCGAATCTCATGGCTATGGTTTGCTTAAACAATGTTTTATCAGCGCCACTAATTCGCGGGAAATCACAAGCTAGATGTGTCCCACCGTGTAGGATCACACCCACTACTATTCCTCCTGCAATTAACTGGAGATATATCCAAACAAAAGCGAGTTTTTATTTTCTTATCACCCCATTGCTATGGTCAACTACGCATCAAAGAAACTAAAATTACCATATAAATAAAGACAAATCGATGATAACATTTTTTATAGCTAAATACGCAGAACTTGGAAATGTAATCTTATGCTTGTCAAATGTGCTAACTGGGTAAACTCTTGAGCAGGGTGATGAATAGTTTGGCATAACGAATATAATAGCCTCAAGTAGTTCAGCCGACAGTTTCTTGCAATTTGTATAAAGATGGAAATAAGATATCATTCAGTTCAAAGTTTATGATTAGTTTTATTAATGTGTCAGCCGTCAAAGCAAAGCACATGATCACCGAACTTTGTGCAAAAAATTAAATGGTAGACATCAAACTCATAGCCGCTTGATTATAAAAGTTCATAAAATGTCACGAATCTCTCAATTCCGAAAAAAACGTTGACAAGTAGATTAGGCATTTAGGCGTATAGTTAATAATTATTCTGAAATAAACAATAAATTACGTAGTACTTTTCATCACCTTAACTAAAACCAAGAGGTTGTGATGCGCGAAACGTGGACTTCATAAAAGCAAATACTACCAAACAAAGGGTAGGTTTAGAGGAGAATAAACAGAGATAAACATTAACTGCAGATTTGGGAGGGAAAAATGTAGCACTAACCTTGTGGAAGTTGATGTTGTCGTTGAAGGGGACGGCAGAGTTGATACAAGGGTGTTTGCGAAGCCACGTGATTGTATTTCTACAAACAGGGAGGAGAATCAGTGCCATGTTGAGCTTCAAGGTCTCAGCAGCTCCCTTGGCCGTCGAAAGACAATAACCCATCACTTGAAAAGCAGATCTGTCACGGTATTGAACAAACTTCCAATAAAATAACACAAAACAAGCAATCACCCATAGTAGAATAATCCAAGCCCGTCTCCAATATGTTCTAAACAACACTTCACCCCTTGACATTAGCTCCTGTTCTTCAGGAAACTCTCCATTTTGAACACCATTATTTGTAACTACTGGCAATTGTGTAGTTGGAGAAGAAGAAAGAGAAGAAGAATTCGGTGGTCTTGTTTTGAAGAGAGACCCCATTTGAGATACCTACAATTGATGTATCTTTGGATCAAATAGGCATGGAAAAATGTTCGTTCGCAATACTTTTGGCCTTCATACTCTAATTATTACCTCAATGTAGCCTCTGCTTTTGCTATCAAGCAAGTCCATGATCATAGCAGCATAATCCTCTGCTTCTTCTTGGGTCACGGATAGCTTGTTTGTAAAAGCACTTAGCAAGATTGTCTGCACGAAAGACAGAATTAGCATTTAATCAGAAGAACATTGAATCGAGCAGAACAAGCCAATTAAAAACGAAAAGTTAGGCTCACCCGCCGGGATTAGACTAATTTATAATATAAAAAAGTCATATAAGAACATAATAAATTGTCTGCGCAAGAACCAGAATCAATATGAATATGCAGAGCAAGACAATTAGCATGATTAATTTAAGGCTCACTTTAATTTAAAATTAGCATGATTAATTTAAGGCTCACTTTAATTTAAAGTGACAGGGAGTTGTTTGTTAAATATTGACCTGCTTTATATCCGGCTCAGTAATTCTTCCGTCCATGTTTCTGTCACACCTGGGATAAGGAAAACAACATTAATTGCAGATGAAGACTTAAAGTGGCAGTTCAGAATTAATTACAGGTAGACAATTACATATCAAAGAAGATTCTCATTCTAGAGTCAAAAGAGTCATCCTTCATCCGAAACCAGAATCTCCTCATATCACTCTTGGTGATATCAACTTTCCAATCTCTTCCTCCTCGTAGTGCCCTTAGTAATTCATTGGCAAACTCCAGCGATTGCTGCATCCCTGCAGATTAGGAGCTTAATTAATAAAGATCACGGCAGGTAGACATATATTGGATAAAGGGAAAAAATGTACGAGTACAACAAATTCAAAATTAAAAAAGTAAGGAGAATGATTAAATTAATGATTCAACAAGCTGGACTGTTATGGCAGTATGCCATATGCTACGCGAAGAACATGGCGTCTAGTCTCCCATTGGTGCAGTGGGGTACGTTAGCTCAGCTTATTTGGCTCTGCTAACGTGCGCACCGTTTGACGGAACTGACACCGTAAAAGAACTAGACGGTGCCGTTTCTGGCGGCACAAAGTGACAAATATTCATAGTAACAATTATCAAACTCTCGAGTTTCCAATTCTCACCGATGCAAAACCCGAACCCCGACCATTTCACCACCGCTTCAGGGCCGTTCCCGGTCCGGGAGGCAATCTGGTCGAACCGCCTCTCGATGTCCTTCCACTCCAGTCCACTGTGACCCGAAAAACTAACGAGTCTAAATCCCAATCCCATGCCTCGAATTGCTCCATTCTCCGCAACCTTAGGCCGGTCCAGTTCCTGCGGCAAAGCCTCGGATCCGGTTCGAGCCGGCGGGGAAGAAAGAGGAAGGATAGCGTCTTCGTCTGGAGTCCAGGAAGAATAAGAAGAAGTAGATGACGAGGAAGTAGAAGACGTCGATGATCTCATAAGAGCAATGAGAGACCGCTCGTGTGTATTTCGCAACTCTGAGTCCATAATGAGTAACTTTCCAAATCCCTCTGTTGAAGTTAGAATCCGATTGCTTCTTCTCGCGAGAAATGTGAATCGTCGCGGCGTATGTTCTCTGCTATACGAGGGAAAGAAGATGAATGGAATTTTTTTAACAACTGCCTGTGCTCTTATTTGAGCTGCATTCCAAGTTTGGCAGGAGAATGAAAGAGAAAGCAAAAGCTAGAGTTAGTATATTTGGTTTGTTTTTCCCTTTTGCTTTGGGTTTCCTATAATGTTAATGCGATATAGAAGTTTCTGCGGAATTGAGTGGTTGAACAAGGGAAAGAAAAAGGACAAGGTTGATGGTTAAATCTGAAAGGTGACAAACCAAATGTTGGTTTGGTTGAGTAAGAAGGAACGAGAAGGGGGGGAGAGAGAGAAAGAGGTTTTGTTGGGGTGGGAAGAGAATAGGAGAAGGTGGGGAAAGCAAACAGGAAGAGAGCAGGTGAAGAAAGAGAATGGAAAGACCGTGAATAATTTGAGCGATTGTGGTTCTGTTTATATATTGTTGGGGAAAACGCTACGAAGAGAATGATCGGCTGATCACAATCTCTGTGCACGGCTGCAAGTATGTGAGCGTGAATGATTATACAAAATGTCCTTTGATTTTTTTTTGCCCGAACATTAATTTATTTTATTTTTAAATTTATAATTTTTAAAATATTTTTATTAATTGCAGGGGTTTTCAAAAGATACGTTTAAGAGTGTAAGAAAATATTTATTACAAATAATTAATTTAATTAACTTTTTAATATATCCAAATTAGTTATAAACTCCTTCCATCACTTTTTTCTAAGAAATAATATATTTCATAATGTTACCATCACATATAAGAAACAAATTTTTTGGCTGAAATTTTAAACTGGTACTTTCATTTTTATCCTCATTAAATACATGTCACTTATAATTTCTTTTACTAAATTTTCACCTATTACCCTCATATACTTCCTTTACATGCAAAGGAGATATTTAAAAAAAAAATATGTATGTATTTTACATATTTACCGTTTTTAACTAAATTTAGCTGGCATTTTAAACTATATAATTTTAATAGTTGTTTCTTAAAATAAAGGAGGGAAGAAGTAACACTTATGTTATGCACCAGAAATAATAATTTTTAATCTCGACTATTGTCTCAGATCCTAAATCTATAAGCTAATTTGATGTATATTTTAATTTAAATATAAGATTTTAACATATTTTTTCTGTTAAATTTATTTTTTTCAATTAATTTTAAATATTCTTATTAATTGTATGTATTAGAGGAAGAATTTTATATGTGGTAGTTCCCATTGCAAGCAAATGAAGTAAGTATATCATGAAATATAATATATTTTAATGTCTATAAATAAATAAATATCTAGCTCTTACTGTTAGAATTAAAAAGAATATATTATAAGCTACCATCGATACTACTGCTTATAAAAAAAAAATATAGCCTTCTTTACCTTTTATATCACCCATATATATAGTCACAACACGTAAAAAAATTAACTCAACCTGGGAATTAAGCATATTCAAGCTAACTTATTTGACAATTTTTTTCTTTTTTTGGTGACAACGGCTTTTTTTATCTATATGCAGTAAATAGTAAAACAGATTACTAAAATGTTATATTATGATCAAAATGTTAGTATATTAGAAATCGCTCGTTGTTTCAACGAGTTTAGATTTATATGAAAAGTTCACTTAAGAACAATTTTTTTGTCAAATGTTAACAAATTCGACATTCACTTATTTCAAGTTAAAATTTAAAATCTTTCATCTTTTGTACGATTTTAATTGTGTCCCCTATAAGATTCTACACACAAAAAATTATGCACCCGCGATTTAATCAACCTGTATACACTTGTTCTTAGTTCATTGATCAAGAAACACTAAATCTGAAGTTATAAAATACTAGTAGTTGTTATTACTTATTAATGACTTAAAATTTCGCAACAGCTGTTATTATAGAATGATATCTTGTGAAATTTTAAATAATTAAAGTGTTCTAAATAACCTAAAAAAGGGGGGCCTAATTTATATAAACAACTCTGCAATTTAAAAAATGTTTATTTTTAAATGATTATGATAAATGACTAATTTACTATTTTAAAATGTAGTATTTTTGTAAATAGTTAAAAAAGTATGGTAAACATCCTTCCATTTGGTCTTTAGATTGACTTATTTAAGTATGACATTTCCTAAAATGTGTTGTTATACTGAGTATTTGCTAAATAAGTATGATAAATAGCTAATCCAGCGTAACATATAACTAATAGAATTATTCTATATATCTTGGAACAGTGGCAGCGAGTTGGCGGTGGGAGATCGGTAAGGGTGGCGGGTTGAAGTGTCATCATTAGTGTTTGAGCTGGAGAAAAAAAAAACACTTTAAAAAAATACTTTTATATAAGTAAAAATAAAACTCCTCTTATATATTTATTTTAAAATTTGTAAAATTACTTCTTAAAAAAAACTAATTTAAGCATTCTCTTGAAGTGAGAGATAATTTGGTAAAAGCACAATATTTAAAAAATCTCTTAAAAAAAAAACAGACAAGGCATGCGCCTAGGTCTTTTAGCAACTCTTCAAAATTCCAATGGGGTACTTCTTGACCATGGTCAGATTTAGGATTGTGTAAAATCCTGATAGTCTGGTATGGTCCGGTCTAATCTGAGCAAATCTGGTCCAATCCAATCCAAAAAAAATTGAACTGAAACAAGATTGGACCAGACTGGACTGGATTAGTCTCATCGGGCTAGACTGGACTATGGACTAGCTTCTCAGACCAATTGGTCCAGTCCAATCTAGCCCTTTTTTTAATTATTATTTATATAATTTTAATTTGATTTAATTTTTCTATATAAGTTTTTTGTCTATTCAAATAATCAATATTTATCTATTAACTTCCTAAGTAATGAGCATGCGTATATATTTTCTACGATATAAGATCTATATTAATGAGGATTAATTAATAAAACATGACATTATTGGGAAATTGAAAGGGAATAATCAAATTTGATGAACTTTGGATTAAAATATGTGTAAAATTTTATATAATAAGTTACAATCTTGCCTGCTATTGAAGAAAAAATTTTTAAAAAAAAATAGGTCCTGGACTGGGTCCAGGCAGTCCAAAGGACCAAGTCCAATCCAACCCGACTTCAGGTTGGTACTAGACTGGGCCAGACCTCAGACTGTCTTTTTCAACCCGAGGTCTTTACTGGACCAGACTTCAAGTTGATAACAAACCCGGTTCAGTCTGGTCCATGCACACCCCTAATTGGATTATGCAAACGGGGATTTTTTTTTTTGGGTCTTATAAATTTTGACAGAATTTTAATAGATTTATTTTTGCCAACAACGTAACATTTTATTTAGATGATGATGTATGTTATAATTCATATTTTATAATTCTAGTTCTTTTTACAAGTCATAATTCTTTTGAACGGGTCTAGTCTTTTTTTTTAATATAAATTATACTTTAAAAATATTTGAATATTTAATGTATTTTTTTTCTTATTTTCACCCCAATAGACCGTATATACCTTTTTTTTCCTATGCACTCTCTTTCAATTTTTTTTCCCTATTTATTCTCTCTCACTTATCTTCTCTATAAGTAAGAGTATATTTGAAAAAAAAATTATTGCATCTTTATTATCTTTAACTTATTTTTAATTTACATAATTTATTTATCTATAACTTGTAAAAATAATGAGAGGAGAATATTACTAATTACCTAATCCAATATACAAATAAAGTATCTGAGAATCAAGAGTCAAAACACTAATTAGGCAATTAAATATCCCTGAGTGTGATCAATCTGAAGAATAATTATTTTATCAGAACCCATGACTTTTCGGTAACTATAATGGTGCTTAAGCTCTTTTTGCCAACTAATGGTGCTTAAGGTGGGTGTATTTTATTGTATTTACATGCGGAAAGGTGAGCATATAAATTATAATTATAGTTAATTTCAATAGTTTATGGATTTAAAAATAACCCCAAAAAAAAGGTCAACATGCCTTTTTTTAATGTAACTTTTAATTTTGCAAAAAGGCGGTACATATATTTTCAATATAAAAAACACGAGATACGAAATTAAATAATTATATCATTCATTTTAGCTAGAGATCATTGCATAATACTTCCTTCATTTTTTAATATAAAAGTTAATTGACTAATCTGAGCATATTTAAAAAGTTTGTTAAGTTAGTTATTTATAATAAATATGTATTATCTTCTCTATAATATCCTCACTAATTATGTGTATTAGCTAAGACTATCATTTGATGGTATCTTTAACATGTGCAATTATTACGAAGAGCATTTTGAAAAAAAAGATAAATATGAGAGACAAAATAGATTGAGGTCTTATATTTAAGACCAAATTAAAAATTAAACTAATTCTTATACTACCTATAGTCCTAAATGTAAAAGCTAGTTGACTAATTTGAGTATATTAAGAAAATAAATTAAGTTAGTTATTTATAACAAATAGGTATTATCTTTCCTAAAATATCCTTATTAATCAAGTTTATTAGCCAGAATTACTATTATTAGAAGGATTATCTTATAAAAAATGAATAAACATGATATACAAAGTAGATTAGAGTCTTATATTTAAAATCAAAATAAAAGTTAAATGAAGTCTTATGTTAAGGACCGGAGGTAGTATTAAGAACTAAAGGTAGGTACTAATTTTTTTTAAACTTTTAAGTTAAAAACAATTTTTTAAAATGGAATTCACAGGCAAATCTAACAAATAAAAACTGGGCGAATTGCAATAGAGTCAATGAAAAGAAAATAACTACCAAAAAGTCTCAATGACAAATGAGCCGTTGCTATTTTCTATGCTGAAATTTATCATTACGAACTACTCAATTGTCACTGTGACTTTATAACAATTATGTTCATTTCTTGGGATTTAATTGTAATTTTTCCATAAAAATTTACAAAAGTTCACTTAAAATTTTATACTAATAAATAATTTTATCTGGATATACTAGAAAATTATAAACTAAATATCCTTGAAAATGATACGAAGATTCCAGTTCATGGCATGAATGTGAATAATTATAAATTTAAATCATCTAAAGTTTAAAGTTTATAAAATACCTCTAAACTTCAGTTCATTTGATTTTTTTTAACGAGGTAAATATGTTTAATAATTTGAGAAAAAATGTTTAGATAATATTTATCCTAATCATATTCGAATTATGAGGTTGGTGGTTGTACGTTGGGACAGATAAATCATTTATGTTGTGATTTGAAGCTAAGCATCTAGAAACGTGGGTCTATATGTTGGTCTAAAGAATGTAAATTATTTGTTCTAGTTATTATTATAAGCATCTGTTAATAAATTTATATAAATTACTGAAGTTATTTAAAATTAATTATTTCTTGAAAAATATTAAAATTATAATCGATAAAAATTATTAGTGAGAGAAAAATTTAGATAACTAGTTAAA